TGGAAGAAGAGAAAGAGAGGACGGAAGGAAGAGTGAAATAAGAATTTAACAGTAGTAGTTCTGAAAAAAACCCAAACATTTTCGCAATAAAAGACACAACAAAATCCTAAAAACATCAAAGATGATAAGCAAAGGTCAGTTATTACAAAAATGTTGTACCCTGTACGCTACGCCTTGGGCAAGTTTCGCTATGGGAGTGCCAAATGCAGAATGCAGTATTCTTCATTTATATCCCAGCTGACAAACCACATGCAAACAGGACTCAAACCTCGGAATACATTGATAGATGCATTGACCATCTTCTGGCAAAATAAGGATGGACATGCTGCCACAGAAAAGGAGTGTTGAAAAGTACTATACAACTGTGACATGGTTTTATAAGAGATGCTACATGAAAATACCTGAGCTCCTTCCATAATAAAAACATACGTCGGCTGAGGTCCTGCCCATAGATTTTACATTCTTTCTAATTTCTAGGACTGGTTGGATGAGTTCATACTCCAAAGTACTGCAGAACACCACATACCATCTTTGCACGCTGTATCCCAAGCTCTGGAACAGAACCCAGCTCTCTGGAATTCCAGGTCACCACAGAAGACCACAAAACAATCCCTGAAGTGCAATATTTGGATATATATAATTTTAATATAGAATGCTGATTTTTTTTGTGAGGCTTGTTTTTGGATAGGCTTAAAACCAACTGGTTTGATCAAAGCTAGCCTTTGGATTAAGCAGGAACATGAAAAACACCATGTCTCCAGAAAATTCCTTTAAAAGAAGGAAGTTAGATGCAACTGCTGAAAGTAAATTCAGATATATAGGGCTAAAACCACATAGCCATTATTTGGCATGATTTCTGGATTCCAAGATAATTTAAAATACGATCCCTTATTTGTTGTGATAATAGTAGTATTATTTAGTAAATGATAGAGATGAAAAGGCTGCTCCATGTAAAAAAATAATAATAATACTGAAGCATACTTACTGTAGAAAGCATATTAGGCAATTTTCCTGCAGTGTCTTTTACTTTATTACTGAAGGAAAACAGTGCAATACATAAAGTCAAACTCATACATTTACATTTTTGTGGAAAAGGAACAAAGAAAGTAATTTCATTATATAAAGTCACTCTGAGTGCTTTTACAATGAATACTGAGTCAATCTTCCCATTAAGTCAGGGTGTATATGACAAATATGCTCCACTTGAAATGTAAAATTTAATTCCAACATGATCACTTCAGGGACCAGTTCTGCAAAATACAGCTGCCACGGCATGGCATACAATTGGAGCATAAGTGACTAGACACTACTGTTAAACACATTTTAAGCTCTGTTGTACAATAGCCTTTGTGTCAGTAAAGTCATTTTAACCACAGACCATGTTTGTTTGAGCAAGTTTTTCTACCTTTTTCCCCCCACTGAACCTAAGTAAATAATTCAGTGATTAATTTACTTAGTATATTTTAATTTGTTGTCATTCATAAAAAAATTATAGCTTTAGTAGATGCACTGCTTTTGCTTTTACACGTGTTTTGTTTTTTTTTGTTTCTTTATAAAGAGTTCTTTGCCAATTGTTCATAGGCTCTTCTAAAAAAAACCCAAACAAAAACCCTTCAATTTTTCAATTTTGGGCTTTTCATTTGATTGGGTATCACTAGGTGTAGTTTTGGTTGTCTGGTAAGTCCCACTCGCCTCTGGCTTGTAACTATAAATTACCTAACTATCAGTTCCTGTGACTTAAGCAAAGGCAGAAATTACAGTTTCTTTGTTGACAAGAGATGTGGGAAGACAGAATATGGTGAGATGAACTTTGTATATCTTACTTTGATGAACAGCTTTGGAGAGCAGGGAGGAAGGCAGAAAGGATGAGAAAAAAGAAGGGGAGAACAGACTTGAAACCACACAGAATCACAGAATCATCGTGGTTGGAAATAACCTCTAAGATCAGAGTGTTCAACTGTCAACCCAGAAAAAAACCACCATGACCACTAGAGCATGTCTTGAAGTGCCACATTTACATGTTTTTGGAATACCTCCAGTATGATGGTGGTGACTCAACCACCTGCCTGGGCAGCCCATTGCAGAGCCTGATACCTCTTTTAATAGAGAAATTCTTCCTAATATCCAGTCTAAACCTATCCTGGTGCAACTTCAAGACATTTTCTCTAGTCCTGTCATTATTTACTTGGGAGAAGAGGCAAACATCCACCTCCTTTCAGGTAGTTGGTAGAGAGCAATAAAGTCTCCCCTCAGCATCCTCTTCTCTAGACTAAACAATTCCAGTTCCCTTAACTTCTCCGTATAGGACTTGTTCTTTAGCCCCTTCACCAGCTTGGTTGCTCTTCTCTGGACATACTCCATCACTTCAATGTCCTTCTTGTAGTGAAGGGCCCAGAAATGCACACAGTACTTGAGGTGAAGACTCACCAGAGCCAAGTACAGGGGGACAATCCCTACTCCTGCTGGCCAAACTATTACTGATGCAGGCCAGGATGCTGTTGGCCTTCTTGGCCACCTGGGAACACTGCTGGCTCATGTTCATCTGGCTGTCAACCAGCACTCCCAGGGTCCCTTTCTTATGGGCAGCTTTCCAGCTACTCTGCCCCAGCCTGTAGACTTGCCTGGGGTTGTTGTGACTGAACTGCAGGACCCTGCACTTGGCCTTGTTGAATCTCATACAATTGGCCTTGGCCATTGATTAGCCTGTCCAGGTGCCTCTGCAGAGCCTTCCTACACTCAGGCAGATCAACCCTCCAATTCAGTTTGGTGTTGTCTGCAAACTTACTGAGGAAGCACTCAAGCCCCTCATCTGGATAACTCATAAAGATATTGAATAAGACTGGTCCCCTGGTCCCAAATCTGAGCCCTGCAGGACACCACTGGTGACTGGCCACCAACTGGATTTAACTGTTCATTACAACTTTCTGGACCCTGCTGTCCAGCCAATTTTTTACCAACTCAAAGTGCACCTGACTGCCATGTGCCACCAGCTTCTCAGGGAGAATGTGGCAGAAGACAGTGCCAAAGGCTTTACTGAAGTCCTTATAGACAACGTCCACAGCCTTTCCCTCATCTGCCAGGCAGGTCACCTGGTCATACAAATGGAAAAAAACCTCCAGGAACACAGAAGAGAAGCTTCTGTAATAATTAATTTAATGTAAAGCTGATGTTCTGCCACATAATTCACATCAGGCTGCTGATACATTTATTTACATTTCAGGGAGTATTGTTTGCCTTAGTCCCAAAGGTCCTGCTCAGTTCACAGATTTTATCCCTCATTCCAGTACAATCTTTTTGTCACAATTTAAATCTGAAACAATATGCTCAGTTCTAGTTATAGATCTTAAAATAGAAACATAGATTTTAGTTGGAATGGATCTTAACGATCATCTTCTTCCAGCCCCTCTGGCGGGGGTGGGGCAAGGACACCTCCCACTACATGAGGTTGCTCCAAGACCCATCCAACCTGGCCTTGAACACTTTCAGGAAGGGGGCCTCCACAAGTTCCCTGGGCAACCTGTGACAGTGTCTCACCATCTTCACAGTAAAGAATTTCTTCCTAATAGCTAATCCAAATCTACCTGCTTTCAGTTTGACACTGTTATCCCTCACACTACCGAACACAGAATAAACTTAATCCTACAGGCTGTTTTCCTACTGTTTTCCCACTGTTCTGTTTACCCTTCCTGACAACTTTGCTGCAAGATCTTTTAGTCACTGCTTTTCTTTAATTCTCCACACATAATTATTGCAATTTCTCATTTATGTCCCCCCCATTTTGGTTATAATATGTGAACATGTACATATTTACACATGCATACATATACACTCATATAAACCATTAGTAATTATTAATTTTGTTAAATCTACTAATGTATTTACTAATTTAATCTGTCAAAATTTTCCATTAGATTGACTCAAATACTCAAACGTAGTGTCTTACTGAAAGAAAAAAATTCCCAAACATATACATATATACTAACATCTAAACTTACTTCCTACAAGTCAAAAACTCATCCTATTTAAGTGAGTGTCATATCTAACTCACTAGGCAAAAATTCTAACTGTAGTGCTTTGAAATAAAAAACATTTTACTGAGCACTTTAAAAATAAAGGATGGTTCTGTAAATACAACTGAGATTGCTGTTCTACCTGAAAGACAGATTCACCTTGTGGGGTTTTTTTTGTCCATAAAGCTTCCTGGACAATGAGGTGAAAACTGCCAGCTCAGTTGAACGGCAACAGAGAAATAAGAGGCTAAAAATGAAACTCAGAAATATTCTGTGAACACAACTGGTTTCAAGCATTTAGACTGACTGGATTCAGAAAACCTAGAGTCAGCTACAACATCCAAACTTTCACTTACGCTTAAGCAGCAAATCCAAAGCACATGCTATGAAGAGGAATTCTGTATGAAAAATTACCAACAAAGAACACGCCATGGGAACAGGCTCTCATTATCAGCTCCCTTTGCCTTTCCTTCTCCCTGGTTCTCAGGACACGGGTGGCATTAGCATTATTTGATAAGCAGTATATCTATTTTCTTTCTATTTTGATCATTTTGTATTCTGCATAGTGCAAGAAAACTGAAAAGAGGAGTGTTCTGCCATAATCTAATTTCTGAAAAAATCATTTTAGAATTGTTACTCTGAATACTGGATGTTAAAAACATTTATACTTAATTCAACAAATGATACACCCTATTCACGTACAGAAGAAATCCAGAAAATGACACCTCAGTAGATTTTTTGTGGTTTATGCATGTGGTTTTTTTAAATTATTTTTAAACTCATTTACTGCCATCTCCTGGTACTTGCAAGGTAACAGTATACACACTATTAACAGCAGCCAGTACTCCTGTCCAAGACTACTGAAATGCCAAAAGCTTCTCAGAAACATTTTCAAAATATTGCTGTACTTTTTACATTGCTGTATTTTATTCTGGATATAGGGAATATTGTTCTTTGGGCACAAACTGGTAAAAGGTTCATGTGACTTACCTTTGTCTGGAAGCAGCAGTAAAGTTGTGTTAGGTATGGATGTTTCCGTGCTAATGCCAGAATTCTCTTTTCTGTCATTGTACAGTCTACATCATCATCTTGAAGTATGACATCTTTCTTCAAGACTTTCACTGCGTATACTTCATCTTTTCCTTTTAGCTCAGCTAACATTACCTAAACCAAACAGAAATTCTGTTCACATATAAACAACAGATCCCATAAATGCAGAACAGGGTTGCATATGAATTTGACTTAATTGGAAATACAAAGACACTTACATACTTGCCTGAATTGAGTTGCATTTTTATAAAATTAAAAGTAATGTAATTTTAGAAAAATATACCTCTGGTATTCTTTAAATTTTAGACAGAGGGTATCTATTTTTTTTGTTAATTAAAAATGCAGAAGATAAAATTTTTATCCCCTCATTCCAATATATTAATGAGTGCCTATTAGTGGGATTTCTAAAACTAAAAAAGGCAGTTGATACAGAACAGAAATCTATTTCCCACTTCTAACTCCCACTTTCAGTAGTGAGTTTTCTGTATGATGAACTTAGTATACAATCCCATACACCATTCTGGCCACTTTTAGGTTGCTGAATTTAAATACTACTATTGTTTAGGGTTCAAGTCCCATACACAGTTTAAGGTCAGTTCTGGCTTACAGCCAGGGTAATCTTCAGAGAAAGAATTAGAAAACAGGGAGACAAAAGAACTGCTTCAGCCTGTTCCCGTGCATCTGGAGTTCCTGTATATCAAGGAAGGAAGAGTGTACTTGTGAAACAGATTCACATTTCAGTCCTCCTCTTTGATTCCACGGTGGGCAGCACTATGAAAAGAAAATCTGTAAGCCCTGTAAACAGAAGAATGACCCTTCCAGCCTCATCAGTTCCTTACTCTGGGAAGATGTTTGGTGAATTACATCTTTGCTGCATAGATGGTATTTTGGGCAGCTGTCTAAATCCCTCGCAATCGTCATATCTGAGTGGAAATGCTTGAGTTCAGCTTCCTCCAACACCGAACACATACAATGAGGAAAAACAAGCACAAAAACTGTTATGTGAAATAAGTAAACTTGAACTGGCTGTTATCAAGAAAGGGAATGAACTCAGAATTCGACAGCATTATTCCTGGGCTCATTTTTCCTGCTTGACCACAGCTAATTATCTTATTGAACAGTATCTGTGTTACTGGATATAGCTCCATTACCAGTATCCTGAAATAGAGAAACACTGACATTTTGTTTCAAAAAGCTTGACCCTAGCTAACAAAGCTAAAGCACAGAAAACATCAGCTGATCAGGAGGCTAATATTCCTGATCTGTGGGGTAAAAGCTGCTTTTACTCAAGGGATAAGAGGAAACCCCTAGGGTGGAAGCAGTTCCTGAATGTCAGATTACTTGGCAGTAAGTAAAAAAACCCCTACACACCATTACATAAAGAAAGGAAAGGAAAGGAAAGGAAAGGAAAGGAAAGGAAAGGAAAGGAAAGGAAAGGAAAGGAAAGGAAAGGAAAGGAAAGGAAAGGAAAGGAAAGGAAAGGAAAGGAAAGGAAAGGAAAGGAAAGGAAAGGAAAGGAAAGGAAAGGAAAGGAAAGGAAAGGAAAGGAAAGGAAAGGAAAGGAAAGGAAAGGAAAGGAAAGGAAAGGAAAGGAAAGGAAAGGAAAGGAAAGGAAAGGAAAGGAAAGGAAAGGAAAGGAAAGGAAAGGAAAGGAAAGGAAAGGAAAGGAAAGGAAAGGAAAGGAAAGGAAAGGAAAGGAAAGGAAAGGAAAGGAAAGGAAAGGAAAGGAAAGGAAAGGAAAGGAAAGGAAAGGAAAGGAAAGGAAAGGAAAGGAAAGGAAAGGAAAGGAAAGGAAAGGAAAGGAAAGGAAAGGAAAGGAAAGGAAAGGAAAGGAAAGGAAAGGAAAGGAAAGGAAAGGAAAGGAAAGGAAAGGAAAGGAAAGGAAAGGAAAGGAAAGGAAAGGAAAGGAAAGGAAAGGAAAGGAAAGGAAAGGAAAGGAAAGGAAAGGAAAGGAAAGGAAAGGAAAGGAAAGGAAAGGAAAGGAAAGGAAAGGAAAGGAAAGGAAAGGAAAGGAAAGGAAAGGAAAGGAAAGGAAAGGAAAGGAAAGGAAAGGAAAGGAAAGGAAAGGAAAGGAAAGGAAAGGAAAGGAAAGGAAAGGAAAGGAAAGGAAAGGAAAGGAAAGGAAAGGAAAGGAAAGGAAAGGAAAGGAAAGGAAAGGAAAGGAAAGGAAAGGAAAGGAAAGGAAAGGAAAGGAAAGGAAAGGAAAGGAAAGGAAAGGAAAGGAAAGGAAAGGAAAGGAAAGGAAAGGAAAGGAAAGGAAAGGAAAGGAAAGGAAAGGAAAGGAAAGGAAAGGAAAGGAAAGGAAAGGAAAGGAAAGGAAAGGAAAGGAAAGGAAAGGAAAGGAAAGGAAAGGAAAGGAAAGGAAAGGAAAGGAAAGGAAAGGAAAGGAAAGGAAAGGAAAGGAAAGGAAAGGAAAGGAAAGGAAAGGAAAGGAAAGGAAAGGAAAGGAAAGGAAAGGAAAGGAAAGGAAAGGAAAGGAAAGGAAAGGAAAGGAAAGGAAAGGAAAGGAAAGGAAAGGAAAGGAAAGGAAAGGAAAGGAAAGGAAAGGAAAGGAAAGGAAAGGAAAGGAAAGGAAAGGAAAGGAAAGGAAAGGAAAGGAAAGGAAAGGAAAGGAAAGGAAAGGAAAGGAAAGGAAAGGAAAGGAAAGGAAAGGAAAGGAAAGGAAAGGAAAGGAAAGGAAAGGAAAGGAAAGGAAAGGAAAGGAAAGGAAAGGAAAGGAAAGGAAAGGAAAGGAAAGGAAAGGAAAGGAAAGGAAAGGAAAGGAAAGGAAAGGAAAGGAAAGGAAAGGAAAGGAAAGGAAAGGAAAGGAAAGGAAAGGAAAGGAAAGGAAAGGAAAGGAAAGGAAAGGAAAGGAAAGGAAAGGAAAGGAAAGGAAAGGAAAGGAAAGGAAAGGAAAGGAAAGGAAAGGAAAGGAAAGGAAAGGAAAGGAAAGGAAAGGAAAGGAAAGGAAAGGAAAGGAAAGGAAAGGAAAGGAAAGGAAAGGAAAGGAAAGGAAAGGAAAGGAAAGGAAAGGAAAGGAAAGGAAAGGAAAGGAAAGGAAAGGAAAGGAAAGGAAAGGAAAGGAAAGGAAAGGAAAGGAAAGGAAAGGAAAGGAAAGGAAAGGAAAGGAAAGGAAAGGAAAGGAAAGGAAAGGAAAGGAAAGGAAAGGAAAGGAAAGGAAAGGAAAGGAAAGGAAAGGAAAGGAAAGGAAAGGAAAGGAAAGGAAAGGAAAGGAAAGGAAAGGAAAGGAAAGGAAAGGAAAGGAAAGGAAAGGAAAGGAAAGGAAAGGAAAGGAAAGGAAAGGAAAGGAAAGGAAAGGAAAGGAAAGGAAAGGAAAGGAAAGGAAAGGAAAGGAAAGGAAAGGAAAGGAAAGGAAAGGAAAGGAAAGGAAAGGAAAGGAAAGGAAAGGAAAGGAAAGGAAAGGAAAGGAAAGGAAAGGAAAGGAAAGGAAAGGAAAGGAAAGGAAAGGAAAGGAAAGGAAAGGAAAGGAAAGGAAAGGAAAGGAAAGGAAAGGAAAGGAAAGGAAAGGAAAGGAAAGGAAAGGAAAGGAAAGGAAAGGAAAGGAAAGGAAAGGAAAGGAAAGGAAAGGAAAGGAAAGGAAAGGAAAGGAAAGGAAAGGAAAGGAAAGGAAAGGAAAGGAAAGGAAAGGAAAGGAAAGGAAAGGAAAGGAAAGGAAAGGAAAGGAAAGGAAAGGAAAGGAAAGGAAAGGAAAGGAAAGGAAAGGAAAGGAAAGGAAAGGAAAGGAAAGGAAAGGAAAGGAAAGGAAAGGAAAGGAAAGGAAAGGAAAGGAAAGGAAAGGAAAGGAAAGGAAAGGAAAGGAAAGGAAAGGAAAGGAAAGGAAAGGAAAGGAAAGGAAAGGAAAGGAAAGGAAAGGAAAGGAAAGGAAAGGAAAGGAAAGGAAAGGAAAGGAAAGGAAAGGAAAGGAAAGGAAAGGAAAGGAAAGGAAAGGAAAGGAAAGGAAAGGAAAGGAAAGGAAAGGAAAGGAAAGGAAAGGAAAGGAAAGGAAAGGAAAGGAAAGGAAAGGAAAGGAAAGGAAAGGAAAGGAAAGGAAAGGAAAGGAAAGGAAAGGAAAGGAAAGGAAAGGAAAGGAAAGGAAAGGAAAGGAAAGGAAAGGAAAGGAAAGGAAAGGAAAGGAAAGGAAAGGAAAGGAAAGGAAAGGAAAGGAAAGGAAAGGAAAGGAAAGGAAAGGAAAGGAAAGGAAAGGAAAGGAAAGGAAAGGAAAGGAAAGGAAAGGAAAGGAAAGGAAAGGAAAGGAAAGGAAAGGAAAGGAAAGGAAAGGAAAGGAAAGGAAAGGAAAGGAAAGGAAAGGAAAGGAAAGGAAAGGAAAGGAAAGGAAAGGAAAGGAAAGGAAAGGAAAGGAAAGGAAAGGAAAGGAAAGGAAAGGAAAGGAAAGGAAAGGAAAGGAAAGGAAAGGAAAGGAAAGGAAAGGAAAGGAAAGGAAAGGAAAGGAAAGGAAAGGAAAGGAAAGGAAAGGAAAGGAAAGGAAAGGAAAGGAAAGGAAAGGAAAGGAAAGGAAAGGAAAGGAAAGGAAAGGAAAGGAAAGGAAAGGAAAGGAAAGGAAAGGAAAGGAAAGGAAAGGAAAGGAAAGGAAAGGAAAGGAAAGGAAAGGAAAGGAAAGGAAAGGAAAGGAAAGGAAAGGAAAGGAAAGGAAAGGAAAGGAAAGGAAAGGAAAGGAAAGGAAAGGAAAGGAAAGGAAAGGAAAGGAAAGGAAAGGAAAGGAAAGGAAAGGAAAGGAAAGGAAAGGAAAGGAAAGGAAAGGAAAGGAAAGGAAAGGAAAGGAAAGGAAAGGAAAGGAAAGGAAAGGAAAGGAAAGGAAAGGAAAGGAAAGGAAAGGAAAGGAAAGGAAAGGAAAGGAAAGGAAAGGAAAGGAAAGGAAAGGAAAGGAAAGGAAAGGAAAGGAAAGGAAAGGAAAGGAAAGGAAAGGAAAGGAAAGGAAAGGAAAGGAAAGGAAAGGAAAGGAAAGGAAAGGAAAGGAAAGGAAAGGAAAGGAAAGGAAAGGAAAGGAAAGGAAAGGAAAGGAAAGGAAAGGAAAGGAAAGGAAAGGAAAGGAAAGGAAAGGAAAGGAAAGGAAAGGAAAGGAAAGGAAAGGAAAGGAAAGGAAAGGAAAGGAAAGGAAAGGAAAGGAAAGGAAAGGAAAGGAAAGGAAAGGAAAGGAAAGGAAAGGAAAGGAAAGGAAAGGAAAGGAAAGGAAAGGAAAGGAAAGGAAAGGAAAGGAAAGGAAAGGAAAGGAAAGGAAAGGAAAGGAAAGGAAAGGAAAGGAAAGGAAAGGAAAGGAAAGGAAAGGAAAGGAAAGGAAAGGAAAGGAAAGGAAAGGAAAGGAAAGGAAAGGAAAGGAAAGGAAAGGAAAGGAAAGGAAAGGAAAGGAAAGGAAAGGAAAGGAAAGGAAAGGAAAGGAAAGGAAAGGAAAGGAAAGGAAAGGAAAGGAAAGGAAAGGAAAGGAAAGGAAAGGAAAGGAAAGGAAAGGAAAGGAAAGGAAAGGAAAGGAAAGGAAAGGAAAGGAAAGGAAAGGAAAGGAAAGGAAAGGAAAGGAAAGGAAAGGAAAGGAAAGGAAAGGAAAGGAAAGGAAAGGAAAGGAAAGGAAAGGAAAGGAAAGGAAAGGAAAGGAAAGGAAAGGAAAGGAAAGGAAAGGAAAGGAAAGGAAAGGAAAGGAAAGGAAAGGAAAGGAAAGGAAAGGAAAGGAAAGGAAAGGAAAGGAAAGGAAAGGAAAGGAAAGGAAAGGAAAGGAAAGGAAAGGAAAGGAAAGGAAAGGAAAGGAAAGGAAAGGAAAGGAAAGGAAAGGAAAGGAAAGGAAAGGAAAGGAAAGGAAAGGAAAGGAAAGGAAAGGAAAGGAAAGGAAAGGAAAGGAAAGGAAAGGAAAGGAAAGGAAAGGAAAGGAAAGGAAAGGAAAGGAAAGGAAAGGAAAGGAAAGGAAAGGAAAGGAAAGGAAAGGAAAGGAAAGGAAAGGAAAGGAAAGGAAAGGAAAGGAAAGGAAAGGAAAGGAAAGGAAAGGAAAGGAAAGGAAAGGAAAGGAAAGGAAAGGAAAGGAAAGGAAAGGAAAGGAAAGGAAAGGAAAGGAAAGGAAAGGAAAGGAAAGGAAAGGAAAGGAAAGGAAAGGAAAGGAAAGGAAAGGAAAGGAAAGGAAAGGAAAGGAAAGGAAAGGAAAGGAAAGGAAAGGAAAGGAAAGGAAAGGAAAGGAAAGGAAAGGAAAGGAAAGGAAAGGAAAGGAAAGGAAAGGAAAGGAAAGGAAAGGAAAGGAAAGGAAAGGAAAGGAAAGGAAAGGAAAGGAAAGGAAAGGAAAGGAAAGGAAAGGAAAGGAAAGGAAAGGAAAGGAAAGGAAAGGAAAGGAAAGGAAAGGAAAGGAAAGGAAAGGAAAGGAAAGGAAAGGAAAGGAAAGGAAAGGAAAGGAAAGGAAAGGAAAGGAAAGGAAAGGAAAGGAAAGGAAAGGAAAGGAAAGGAAAGGAAAGGAAAGGAAAGGAAAGGAAAGGAAAGGAAAGGAAAGGAAAGTAAAATTAACTAGGTTATCACTGTTCTCCTATGATGAGGAAAAGGGTCCTCACACAGTATTGAGAATAAACACAGGACCAAGCAAGAATATCTAATGATCCTGTAAATCTTAAATATGTCCTTCAGAGCTTGAATTTTAGCCATCTGCTTCTGCTCTCATACTGAGAGCACAACATTAGCTCCTCATGTATTATTGCTTCTTACTCTATTTGACTCTAGTAAAATAACTTCCAATGTAGGCAGGCATAAAACCAACAGTGGTTTAAGTTTTATTAAAATTCTTTGGCACTGTTAGACACTCTCTTTCTCTAGATGGCAATCCATTTACTAAATTCTTTCTCTGAAATACCATCTTCTGAAACTAGCACACTACTAAGAGGGAAAAAAGGTTACATTGCTTCCAGTTCATGGGGTAGGGGGAAGTTCATAGCTCCATTAAAAATAGCATTGTGTGAATGTGTTAGGAGCAGATGACATATTTTATCTTAGACTTCACTGCCCTCTTGTGGAGCAAGGCACAAAGCAAAATTGCAAGTGTAATTAAATACAAGATTAACATTCAATTGCTCAAGGTCCTAACTTCATTACTTTTTAGAGAAAAAAAAAAAGAATCAAAAGGATGTATTTATAAAGCTGCATTTCATCATAATGTTCCTCAATGGTGCTTTCCCTAAAGAAAGAAACGACATCTACCTCTGAGACGATACACAGGCAGCAGTAACCACATGCTGCAGGAAACAGGGGCCTTTCTCAAGTATGTTTCACCCCATAAGCGCAGCAAAACGAAATTGCTACATTAGGGTACTTCTAGTGCATGTAAATTTGGTGACAAAAGCTCAGTGGCAAGTAAAATGTTTGAGCTAGGGGTCTGTAACCGTGGACACTGAGGAATGGAACTGCTTGAAATAAGCCAAGCAGCAAAATTTTACACAGTCTAACTTCAATAACATATTTTGTAAAAAAGAAGCACAGAATAAGTAGTGAAAAAAACAGAAGAAGAATAAACCTCTGGAATACATTTTGTTGGTGTTAAGAACCACAGTGGGCAAGCAAGCAGATCTCTGAAGAGGCGAGCGTTGTTAGGCACTTCTTAAGAGAGAAAATGAAGCACAGAGAAAATAGCATTTCCAGCTCAGGTGATATCCAGATTTCATACAGGTAATATTGCTTTTTTATAGACACTAACCGTATGAACATGGAGAAAGCAACATAGGCTCTCTTAACTATTGTTTCTACCAATCTGCTACACAGTAAATGCATACATTTGAAAAATAACATTATTTTTGTCCGTTAAGAGCAAATGACCAACTATGGCACTTCAGTAAGAAAGTTAACTAATATATTCACAGATTAAGTGGAGAGATACCATAGCTATGATTAAAAATCCAAGTGGAAAAAAAATCAGGTTTAATCGAAAAACCTTTTCTGAACAAATCTCCACCATAACTAGCATTTGAACAAAATCTTTCAAAGCAGTAAAGTATTTAGAGTTTAACATTTTGTCACTGCTCACTAGCTAGAACCACAAATGAAGGTTTGAATATCAAATCCCTCTCACTGTGTATCTATTACTTTGCCATGAGGTAAGTTTCTTCTTCCCCGTGCTGTTCAGCAATTTGTGACATGAAACATTAGGTCTGACCTTCACATACAGTTAATGTCTCATCTTAAATATGGCAAAGGCTGTATTTCACAAATTCCATGTTTATACAGGTATGACACTGTGTTTCTGCAGTTGAGAAGTATATGTAACATGACTTTTGTATTTATGAAGATGGGCCTACCTATTAATAAAGTTGTAATAATATGAAAATGCTTATAATTCCATTAGGTACTACTTCTAATAATCTGACAGTCTTCATGACATAATTCACATCCACCCACTAACTGAAGTGTTTTATTCACTATTTCTAAAATATTACTGTTTCTACTGTTTTCTCCCCCATTTAAAATACATAAATCTGCTTGAAACAAGGAGATATGGAAACAACTATTTCTGTTAGTCAGCTAAAATGACATGAATGCACCTTCCTGCAGTAACTTTACATACAGCTACTGTACAGAGTACACAATTGTTAAACTGCAGAACATAATGAATCCTTTATTTTCTGGAACACAGGAGGCTAGGCAGACCATCACAAAGGATGATTTAGATAGATCTCAGACTACCTAATCTTCTGGATATAGGCACACAGGACTGATTCTGCCCAGCCTAGCCAACACAGAATAGTAATTTTTGAGGATGGCATTCAAGGAAAAGAGAAGCTGGAATAATGATATTTAAAAAGTTTGACAACCATCACCACAAAACAGAAAACACAAAAGGCATATGAACTGAAGGGATGTAAATTATCATGCCCCTTATTTTCTGACAACTTCTAATCCCGTGGCATTAAACCTACAATCTACAGACCAGTGAGTGCAAAATGTGTTTCTGCCCCTCTGTCCCCTGCATCTGTTATTGACTGGTGTTGCAGACAGGGTAAAGGACCATTTTCTACCCATGATGGCAATCCCTACTGCAGTCTGCTATTTATTGTTGTTTTCCACACATGCTGGAAAAGATAGAATCTGACTTCAAGTTTTTCCAAGTCTACAAATCACTCAAAAGGAAAAAGCTCAAGTGATAATCCTTACCTTTGCATTGTAAACCTTGTCTCAATAGACCCCAGAGCAATGAACCACAGTGGTCACAGAAGGTGGGCACTTTGTAATTGTGAATGCTGAACTTGTGAGGCATGTTGACGCTGAAACGCTGGGATCCCACTTGCTGAAAAATGAGAACATGGCATATTTAATTCTAATTAATTTATTTACAATCAGTGTACACTAAGGCCCTGTTACATTTTGCAGTCAGAGATCTTTGCATTAGATATACTTCAGCTTTAGAGTTCTTTATTTGGGGGAAAGAGGGGGAAAGGATGCTGTTGTCCACAAGATAAAGACTGAAGTCTACTTCCTAGTATTTCTGGTAACAACAAATACATAGCTATCAGGAAAGATCTCTTAATGTGGAAGGCAAGGAAGTCACTCCCAATTGTTTTAGGAGCAGGAGGCGAAACTAGTACAGGACTAAGAAGTAGAAATATATCACAATCCCTTTACCTTTTCATATCTCCCTCTTCTTTGGATTATGAAAATGACAATGATAAATAATGGTGTTCAGGGATTCCAAGGTATGATTACTTGCTAATAAGGATGTAATTGATAAGCTTTTATAGTGGCCACTGCATAGCAGGAGATTTACTTCCATGTTTTTCCTTCCCTTTCCTATTACCACTGGCTTCTTTCCAGTGATCTAGTACCCCTTTTAAACAATGAGAACATTATAGCAGCAAAACATACAAGCCTCCACCAGTCTGGAGCCTGGGAATATAAATCTGGGCAAGATTTTGTATCTTCCTGTCAGTACTAGGCAAAAACAGCACCAGCCAAACACAGTCCTTTATCACAATCCTATGCATGTGATCAGGTTTCAGGTGCAAAACACTGGTTGCAAACCAGATATTTAAGAATGCTTCCAGTACGAAAAATGGTAGTGAATTGCACAAGAAGAATGAGATCAGTCAGACTCTCATTGAAAATCATATTGAAGTTGAAAGACTGGCTTAACACCATTATTACATACAACCCTGACTTGTAATTTAAACCTAGTTTTTTTTTCAAGCATATAAATATAGTTTTAACAAACAAAAATAAGAAATGTACATTTTCTGTATGGCAAAGGAACTGGGACCACCCACAAACTACCTCACCTCACAGCAGGTTCTTGCTGTTGCACTAAACAGCTTTTGTGTTAAAATATAAGCAACAAACTTCTGTGTAAGATAAAGCATTCACTGGCTATAGGTGAGGGCTACAACTTCTTAAAAAAAACATAAACCCCGCTTCCCTACCCAACTGTTAACTCAGCCAGAAAAGGATACCCCAAATCTGAAGAGTCTAAGGAAGCTGAACACCACAGCAATCATATTGGTCCCTGCCTTATGACTGTTCTCAGAAATAAATGATTATTTCCTAATCAAGCCTGAATGCACCATCTTAGCTGAGAGAGACCTTTAACTCAAGCAAAACAATCGCTTTTTTTTCTTTTCTGATCTGGAGTTGAACATGTTGTTGGGCAGATATATTTACTTCCCTGAGAATACAGTCCTGAAAGCAGCTAATTTCATTTTCAGGTTACGTCTTCATTTATTTAAATGCATGATAATATAAAGCACATATTGTGTAAACTCCATTAATAGACAAAAGCTTGCTAAAGGTAGGGAGTAATTATGCTCGAAAACCTGTTAGCTATGCAGTACCTTGTGTTAACACTACCATAGAACATCCATAGACCTTCTTCAACATATAGATTGCTTTTCTTTCTCCTGCACTTTGACAGTTTGGATGCAGACTGTGTTGAGCAGCGACGTGGCAAGCCAGTTCAGGGAGGTCTTTTATGTTGATGCAAGATACTAAAGCATAGCATACTGCCTATCTTACCAGCTGGTAATGACTGAGCCACACAAAATGCAGTTAAGGGACAGAGTCCCATCCTATTTTTTTTAAATTAAAATGACAAAACTTATAGTAAGTCAGAAATGGAGTAAAAAAGGAGTGCAATAAGCTCACTCAGACTTTGAGGACTTGGATGTTATAAAAAGTTACCAATTAGAAATAAATTGTTGCATAATAATTGCCATGTAAATGAAACCATTATTGTAATCTGTCATTCCAAAGTAAATGCTACATCACAAGAGAACAAGAAGGGCACAAAAGAGTCTGTAACAGTTATTGATTAAACAAAGGAGATGACACTACTTTGAACAGATGAAAGACATAGTTTAATCTAGAAAATCTATTTTTAAACATTTACCTCATCGTGAGTTTCCTGTTTTTTTAAGCCAGCACACTTCGTTATTATAAGTTCATGGCATCTCTTGTGGACTACACAAGTGCAAACTATAAACAAAAAATAGATAAAAGAATAAGTTTTCATGAAGATTGATTTTAAAGCAAAAGACAACTCAGAAGACTAGAAATACTGGGAGACTTGAAAGACTGGAAGAAATTGGTGACTTGGTGAGTCCCATGACATAAGTCTGGCTCACAAAGGCAGAAAATGATGGACTTCCAAAGGTCAATGAATTTTAAGAGAAATAAAGTGTATATTCCAAAATCCCACTATGTAAAACTACAAATCATCTTCTGAAATATTAACCATTATTTTTCTCAATTTTTACAAATTTGATTTCTTTATCTGTTGATGCCCATGATCTCCACATTATATGAGACACAATGGCAAAAAAAAAAAATCTGTCTGAAGAACTTCCAGAGGAAGAGACATAAGGATAACTCATTGTAACAGTCAAAGAAAAGAAAAAACAGTTTTTTGAATGAAGAAAAACATTCTTTTTGTGACATGTTATCATCAGTTGGTAACAGTAAAATGTTTCAGGAGGCAAAAATGCTTTGTCAATATTCATACCAATTACTTAATCAATGAATAACATTTGCAGATACAGTAGGTAAGATTAAAAATTGCAATGTCTACTGTAGAGTGGGATTCAAGGTCATTAAGTGAAGAAAAAAACCTTAAAAGTGCATGAATTATTTTTTTTTCTAATACTGGTCATTGTTTAAGAAAAATAATAAATCAGAAGTCAAGGAACCTCTGTTGTATGTTAACACAGTAATTCTTATTCTAGTATGTAAACCCAGTATTTGCATTTATTTATTTACAATGATATTTCAAGTCTTCTGTAACTGAAAAACCACCTCTAACAATTATTTCTACTTGTCAGATGAGAAGCAGAAAAAAATAATCCCAAGAGGTAACTGCATAAAAAATTACAAGTAGAAAAAACTGAGATGAAAGATTAAGTTGAGAATTAAGCACTTCTGCAGTCTTTGCTAAAACATTCTTTAATGATGAACTCTATAATTATCTCATCTGTTTAATTACAGTCTTTGCAATTACCTGGCATTTTTAAACAAAGAATCTCAAACAGAATAAAGAATTCACAATTTTAAAATGCAAGAAATGTAAAATGAGGTAGGCAACACCCGCAGATACGCCCCCCTAGTTGGATGTGCATCAAGAGATACGTAGGATCTGCTGTTCGGTGATGCTTACTGTGTCCTATCTCATACATGCTGCCTAAGACAAATAGTTTCTTGAAAAAATCTTACTGTGATTTACTTTAAAGACTGTATCTTTGGTGAGACAAACTTATTATGATCCTCTTGTGCTAAATTCTTAATATTGTACATATACAATGCCTGATTAAAATAACTTATTATTTACATAGTCAACACAATACGTATATTAAAAATGTCCCTCTGTAGATTTTCTCTTACCTTGACATTGGTATCCCTGTTTTCCTATTACACCCCTGAAAATAAAGCAGTGTTTTAGAAAATGAAGAATATATACTTTCAAAAATTAAAAACATGTTTTCCTCTCTTTACTGGACATGCATAAGTTTAAAGAAATAGCTACTTCTAACCAATCATCTGGTAACTGCATGCTTGCATGTATGAGATCAGTTCAAAGTAGGAACCACATTTCAGCTGCCAAGAGGCAACAGGTAGGACAACAGAATCCTAGAATCATCGTCAAGGTTGGAAAAGACCTTCAAGATCATCAAGTCCAACCGTCTGCCCCACAACCCCCTAACACCTAAACCATCTCCCCAATCATAGAATCATAGAATCATAGAATCTTAGGGGCTGGAAGGGACCTCGAGAGATCATCTAGTCCAACTCCCCTGCCAGAGCAGGGTCACCTAGAGTACATCACACAGGAACTCATCCAGGTGGGTTTTGAATGTCTCCAGTGAGGGAGACTCCACAACCTCCCTGGGCAGTCTGTTCCAGTGCTCTGTCACTCTTACAGTAAAAAAAATTTTTCGGATATTCACCTTGAACCTCCTATGCTCCAATTTACACCCATTACCCCTTGTCCTATCACTGGTCATCACTGAGAAAAGCCTAACTCCATCCCCCTGACACTCACCCCTTACATATTTGTAAACATTGATGAGGTCACCCCTCAGTCTCCTTTTCTCCAAGCTAAAGAGACCCAGCTCCCTCAGCCTTTCCTCATAAGGGAGATGTTCCACTCCCCTAATCATCTTCGTAGCTCTGCGCTGGACTCTCTCGAGCAGTTCCCTGTCCTTTTTGAACTGAGGGGCCCAGAACTGGACACAATACTCCAGATGTGGCCTCACCAATGCAGAATAGAGGGGGAGGAGAACCTCTCTTGACCTACTAACCACACCCTTTCTAATGCACCCCAGGATGCCATTGGCCTTCTTGGCCACAAGGGCACATTGCTGGCTCATAGTGCTCGAGATGCGGCCTCACCAAGGCTGTGTAGAGGGGCAGGATCACCTCCCTGGTCCTGCTGGGACATGGGCCATGAAGGGATTCAGAAATAAAGAAACATTTACTATAATCAAATAGGCAAGGCCAAAGGGTATATAGAGAGAGAAGCCACAAGCCAGTGAAATTGTCATCGAGCAAACCTTTGAACAGACAGAAGATTGCACTGCCAATTTTGTTGCTTGAAATCATCTCAGCTAACATAAAGCCTGGAGACATTTCTTAGAGGAATGTATTTGAGCTCATGCACAATTCACATTACTTCACATTAAGAAAGGCTGATTCATTACACACTCTTAAGAAATATTAATTATTGATCTCATTAGACCTTAACGTGTATAAGGTGCAAATCAACACCTCTAGGAAACTCTGGAAAACACCAATGGAGCTGCTGAAAAATAACAGAAAACTTAATGTCTCCACCACTTTTCCCTATCTGAAAATTGCCAGTACTCAAAACTAATGTAAACAATTTCTAAAAGGGAGCTCCTCACATACTGTGCAATAAGAAAGACCCTGTACACTGAGGACCCCAAACTCTGGATTATTAGAAGTCTAGCATTCCCATATTCCATTAACTTGCATAGGATACATAGGAGCTCAACATTTCCTAGGAGGAAGATGGTGATACTTAAGCACATCAGGCAGATTTCAGTCTTCTTGACAAAATGTACAAGCCTAATATTAGGTCTAAATCTACTCTTGGGCACCTACAGAATATGAGACCAGCTGTCTACCTAGAATTTAGTGTGTACTAGACAGGGAAAGATTGAACTTTGTGGCTCAGAGGAGAATAAACACAAATACAACAAAATCTAACATGTATGACGGAAGTTTAACAGTCTTTGATTACAGTCTGCAAAACGGATGCCAGTTTAATATTAAAATGAAAAGAACTACTACCCCATGCCATTTATACTGCAGCAAAACAGAAGGGTATGTTAACTCTTCAATTCCAAGTTGCAAAGAAAGCAAAGTCATACCATATAAAATCTCTGCAGTGCGAACAATATGTTGGCTGTCTGAGGTACGTGGCCATAAATTTGTGTCCATTAACCTGATGTACTCTGCGCCGCACGGCACCCTGCCGCTTTCTGGGGCGCATGCGTTCCCGGAACACACGTTCTTCATTGTCTTTGGGTGCTGAAACAGAGGAAAAAACCATGAACACTGGTGGCATTGGACACAAACATGGGAAAATTCAAATGCAATATGTAAGTAGATATTCTTCAAAAATAAAAGTAATCCTCACTACCGAACAACGCAAGATAACATCCCTAAGTTGGGAGTAATTTTTTTCTCTTTTAATGTCAATTACTAACAGACCAGGTTTTTCACTCCCTGGTACAGGAAATTCTATTTGTTCTAAACCTTTATCTGTTAATTCATTCTAAGCTGGGAATAAATCTGTGCTTTATCACTATCAAGCACACTAACAATCTCTTTAACAGTAATTACACAGATTCTCCAAACAGCTCAAGAGTCTCATCACACAGATCACATTTGATCTTCAGGGAGGAGGGAGGCAGGAGGGGAATCCACCAGAAAATCCCAACATCCCCTGCTCCCCATATACTCAGAAAGTGCTGACACAAGTGCAAGAAAGCTGACTACAAGTACATACTATCAAGCAGAATAAAAAATTCCACCCAGAACTGATTACTTTGTAGAATTCCTGATTAAGATCTGAGCTTCAGGCTCTAATAATCCACTTTGATACTAATACACTTTCAGCAAAATATTCAAGGGAAGGAAGTTTTTCCTCTTAAATAATTCCTGTTCAATTGCATATTAGATTTAATGGCAGAGGAAGTAAAAAATTAAATTGATGTATCTCAGAATTAAAACCTTTGGAAAAAGTCCTCCAGAGTGAATTGGGTCTTTTTCCCCAAGGCTTGATTTTGAAAAGTATCACTAACACCTCCACAGTATTCTGTATGCATTAAGCAGAAGCTGAGGATGAATTAGAAACAAAGAATGTGCTATGAAAGGAAGATTTTGCAACCATTTCTTGAGCCACTTTTGTCTCTCTGAAACAGAGAATCAGATTGGGAGGGGACCACATTCAGCCATCCTTTGCCAACTGCATCAATGCACTCACTACTTCAGTGCATATAACACTTTGAAACGTGTGTAACACTTGTCATTCTTTGAATTTCAGCTACCCCAAATCATTATAATGTCCTAAATATGCCAACTATGGTCTGTTGCAAGCATTTCTGTACACTAATGAGTTCTTCAAGCAACAACACAGTATTTAACAATAATACAAAGAAAATGAAAAGTCCAAGAACAACTCTTATCTATACTGGTTTCAAATTCTTTTACAAACACCAAAATAACTTGTCAGCAGCATGGATGGTGGAATTGAGTGCACCCTCAGCAAATTTGCCATCAACACCAAGCTGTGTGGTGTGGCTGACACGCTGGAGGGAAGGGAGGCCACCCAGAGGGACCTTGAGGTTGTGGATGCTCCCTCCCTGAAGTGTTCAAGGCCAGGCTGGATGGGGACTGGAGCAACCTGGTCTAGAGGAAGGTGTCTCTGTCTATGGCAGAAGGTTGGAATTAGATGATCATTAAGGTCCTTTCCAACCCCAAACTATTCTACAATTTTATAAACCCTGTTTTTGAGGATTGTAGTATTAAAAGGTGTTGATTTAGGGATTCCTAGAAACTGGTCTTAAATTAAGCCAATGGATGGATATCCTGGGAAAATTTAGAGCACATACTCATGAATCAAGATCAATTTCTTTCACTGCACAGCAAGGGCTAAAACCCATGATACTAGCAAAACCGTTCATGCACTAAAAAGCCTAAAATCCTTACACATGAACATCTTACCAAAACTTCTTACTCAGAGTGGGTTTTCACCCTAAGATAAAACATCTGTGGGATGGTCAGAATGGCACTGCTTTTCTATTTTAAATGAGCTTTCAGTAAATAAACATTGACTTATACAGAAAGCTACACCTTTGTTTTTATTAAAAAAAAAGAAAAAAAAAGAAAAAAGAAACAAGAAACAGCTCTGGTTCCCCTTCAAGAAAGAGGTAAGAAATACAAAACAGTTATCAATTATGTTTATTTTTAGGTTGTCGATTATGTATATTAATATGCATTAAGCGAAACTCTGCTGTCTTAATAAATACTAAAGCCCCTCGAGAGGAAGACTGTCTTCCACAGACAGTATGTAAGAAGGAGATGAAAATACTATCAAAGACTACTTCCAGCTTCTGAATGATTAATTAACTTTACAAAGCTGCTGGAAATCTTGTAAAAGTTATTATTATAGAAAAAAAAAAGAAAAAAAAAAAGGTGATTTTAACACAGAACTGTTACTTTGGTTACTATCCAGATTGAAGAATTTCCAAAATTACGCAGCCTGGATGTGAGAAAGTTAAGATACCACTCTCCTGGGAAGGTTTTACACTTGATATGATAATCAGTCTACAATACCACTTCTATTTTCATCTTAATTGTAACTCTTCACTTATAGGTAAAGCACCTCTAATTCTATAGGGCAAGTAAAAAGCCTCTTCTTGTTTTGGCTTGATAAACACAGAATGATGACACTTTCATTTAGCAATAAACTCTTAAAACTAATTTTACTGTACTACTTTCAGTTCTATATTTAATATTTTTACAAAAATTCCTTCTATCACAATACTTACAGTTCAAATAAAACAACAAAAAGGTGTCTTTTTCAGAAATACTCTGACTTGACAACAGATATAAGCAAGATATTAAGCCTGAAATTATCAGATTAAATGGCAGGCCTTAATTATTTATATAATTTCCACACAAACAGCATTTCTGTGTGTGAGAAAGATGCTTAGACAGCTCAGTTTCTGAGCAGTTTCTTTGGTCTGTCTTGGATAACATTGTAGGCCCATTAGCCAGTCCCCCTAAACTGACTCTCCTGTTGGTCTGCTGCTCCACATTTACCATTAGAAACCAGACTTGGCCATTTTGGTGCGCTGCATCCAACTTCAGTGTTGAATTGCACAGATGAACTGCATGGCCAAGAGCGCTGGACTCCTCAGTGGTGACTCTGCCTCCACCTCACTTCTCCTTACAGCTCATGTAGGATGCCTATCAGTTGGAGGCAGTAGTACTTGTCTGGGGGGCTGGAGTAGCATCTGGCATTACAGTGGAACACTGGACACTGGACCATTAGACATCAGCCTTTGCTCAAAGCAGACCAAGTTGCACGAGAAATAAATTCCAGCAAAACACTGTCATGCCTTGCACAAGTCACACCACTGATGTGGACCACAGGCACAAAACCAGGCAGCAACTTTCCCAGGTGACTCAGCAGCGGATGATCCCATCTGTGCTGGCTCGTACCCAGGGCTGTGAACCCCTCTTTTCTAGTAGCACTAACAATAAGTCTTCAGCGTTAGTTAAAATCTATTTATCTTGTACTGAACAGTCACACCACAGATGTTTGTTTAACTGTGTGAAGACATCTACTTAGAAAGGGAGGGACACTGCTCTCCCCAAACTTCTCTCATTGCTTGCAAGCAGAAAAGCAAATATTAATAAATGCTATCAGAAAACAGGGAGTACTTGGGAAAATGCCCAACGTTTGTGTGATACAGCCAACTAGTGTTTTCAAGAAGTACTTTAGAAAATACAAGCATCCCAAACAAAATTAGCCCTTTAAATAAATTTTAAAAATAAGAAGTCTTACAGCTGTATAGAACAGATTCTAGAAAATACCACTAGGATACCGCATACTGGGTGTTGCATTTCTATTCTTGGCAGAGGAGCTCAAATTAAAATTAGGTGGATTTGTCACAGTTAGTCTATAAGCAAGTTTAAATATAAACAATTTCTTTTCACAGTATTTCTACTAAATAGTTGCAGAGGGTTATTATTTCCTCCGTAAGAAATATTTCTTTTTTTAACATATGTTCTGTTCACCGTTTTGATTTTGTGTCCTTCACCCCTTTATATTATCCAGTTTATCCTTTTTAAAGCATTTATTTAACTTTCATTTTCAAAAGAAGAAGTAAGAAAGGCTTATGATAATTTCCAAGTATTCACATAGAATACTGTGAATGCAGCACACTGAGTTCAGGCTTTGTATGCTGGTACTTGAGACCTGGCAAATTTAGAACTAATTTTGTCTCAAAACTATACCCAGTAATGCCACTACTTCTTTTCATTGTAGCCAAGAGTAACTTTGAGTTATTTGGAGAACAATAGCATGTAATTGCTTTTATTGACTCATGTACATACAAACATATTGCTTGCAATTTCAAACACTGAAAAAAGACTTTCAGACTTAACTTTAAGCTCTTGCAGAAGTGTTATAAAAGTCAGAAGAATTTGACATGCAAAATTGCACAAAATTCATAAATACTTGCAAAATGGATGTTTAAATGAACTGCCTGGAACTATATTTAATACTGTTAATCATGTAGCGTCTGTTAAGCATGAACTGGAAGTCACAGCTCAGAGGATATGAAACTGACACTTAATGCTCAGCAACCATCAAGGGGAGCAATATCGGAGGTAAAAGACTGTACACCAAGAACAAAGGTTCAACTATGTCAGGTCTTGTTTCATACTAAAATGGTTTCAGTATAAATAAGAAGGGTCCAGTGCAGAGCACTAACTGCAACAAACAGAATTATCCTGCATAGCAAAATGTACCATTTCCATTTTTTATCCTCTATATTGCAAGTACTCACAGAATTCTGATGACAAAGAAAACAATGGAAAAAATATGGCAGAAAGAGAGATTACAGGCACAGGGAGGTTTTTCAGCATTTGTTATTGCTTAAAATGCTGACTTCTAAAAGGAAACATGCTGGACACTTCCCTTAATCTGGAGGGAATTAGCATTGAACAGTGACAGTGTTTGGGGAAGAAAAAAATAATCAGATGCTTCAGTTAAATGGCCACTATCCCATCAAAGCCAAACTGTAGGCCATGTACAATGGTAACACTTGCAGAAACTGGGGTAGCTGCCAAGGAACCCCATCCAACAGGACACTAACACCTCCATGGCACTTCTAGCACAAAGGGCTTTTCACCCTGGGCATCTCTTGGGTGTCTTCACGTTGCTGTCATTCGCAATCACAACCAGGCAAAACCAGCTGCTTTAGCATCACGCCTTAATAATTACAACAGAGCCT